CCCCCCCCCCCCAACCTCTGAATGTTTCAGGCGACCAGGAGGCCAAGATGAAAGGCCTACTCAACTCTTCCAGGAGCATCCTGGCCTGATGCTGTCCTTGCTCATCCACAGCGATTCCCGAAAATATAGAGCCTCGGCCTCATTCCCCAGATGGTCACTCAAGGTCTCCGGAGCCTGACACTTCCATCTGCCTGGACTGCACATTCCCCACACCCTCCCAGACCCACCACATGTCTCAAGCTCAAGCAGAGGGATGACAAGTGGGAAGTTGTCCACCTCCCACTTGGGGCTCCAGCCCCAGGCTCCAGAAGGCATCGGCCCCGCTCCCCCAGCCCTAGGTCGAACCTGGGCATGGGCCAGATGACCACCCAGCTCCACCCTCCAGCAGCAATTAGAAAAGGCCTTACGCCCCACCAACTGCACAGGTGGGAAAAGATTGGTGGCCTTTTCCCTGCTTGGTGTCCTCAGGGCTAAGCCAGAGGCCAGAGGCATCTGTGAACCAGATGCCCTTCCTGACTGTGTCGGCCTCCATGAGGCTCAGTCTGGCCAGGTACCCCTGCCCTGGGTCTGTTCTGAATCCACTAACCCAGGACAGCCAGGCGCATTGAAGCCTCATGGACCACTGCTCCTCTGACTCTGCGGGTATGGCTGCCCCAGGACTCTCAGATCCCTGCTATGCCAACGAGCTTCTCTGAGACCACAGGACTCTTCCCTGGCCACACAACTTCAGTCAGTCAGTTCTGTTCTCTCTGCCTGGGGGGTCAGGTGTAAATCCATCTCCAGGTTCCTCCTAGGGGTTGCCCTAGGGTCCTCTCTCTCCACCATATTCCCTGACATGGCTCTCTGGCCAGTTCTCTCCATCTGCCCAATCGTAGGAAGGAGAGAGGGCTTTTCAGTCTCAGCCCTTGGTTTCCCCCCACCCCCATCCCGACCCCTAGAGGCGCAGGCAGGTTCCAGGCACCCAACGCGGGGAACTCGCCCCCGTGTTGCCGGGTGGGTGTCCACCTCAGTGCCCCAGCCCCACCCCTTCTCAGGCCGCCCGAGGGGGGTGCGCCGCGCCCAGGGCGCACAGTTCCCGGGGGCGCGGGGCGCGGGGGGGAAACTACCGAAAGTGCCGAGAGAAGCCCTGGTCCTTCCCCATCTGGAGCCGGCGGCGGCGGCGGCGCGGCAGGTGCCGACAGGTAGGGGTGGCCGAGCCCGCGAGCGGAGCGAGGGCGCCGCGACTCCACGAGCCTCTGCCGGGCGAGCGCACTCGGCCCCTCCCGAGCCGCCCGGGCCCGCGGCCCCGCTCCCGCCCCTTCTCGGGTGGCCCCGCCCCGCCCCGCCCCCACGGGGGACCCTTCCGCTAGCTCCGGGGGATCTGGGGGGAGGTTCGGGGCTGTCAACGCTGCTTCCTCTCGGCCGGCTTCTTCAGTCCCTCCCCAGGTGCCTCGCCTCCAGCCCCTCGGGCCCTGGCGCCCAGGCCCCCTGCACCTGGCTGCGGCGAGACTGAACCCCACAGTTTGGGAGAAGCTCCGACTTTCTTTTGTAGAGGACGGGAAGTCTTTCCGGAGAGGGTGGTCTTATCGTTAGGCTTCAAGGAGTGGGTCAGCGCGGGGAAGCCCTTCTCACCCACCCCGGAGAGAAGCGCTAATCAAGAGGCTAGAGAGGGAGGCCTTGAACGCCATTGTCAGCGTCTGAGACTGAACACTGAGAACCGCGAGGAGCCAGGGGAGGGTCTGTCTCAGGATTTAAGGAGAGGCGGAGGGACCCCAGAGGTTTTGGTGCACCAGGGGAGTGGGTGAGGCTGGGAGGGGAACAGGGAAGGGTGTGGGGTGGGGTAAGTGGCTAGGTTCTAAAAACACAGAGGAAGGAGAGTACGTGAGATCTGGTGAGTGAGGGGAAGTGAGGAGGGGCGGCCAGGCTGGGGCAACTCCCAAGTGAGGCTCAGGAGGCCAGCTGGCCTCCTGTTGGGAGAGAATCGGAGGAACAGCTAAGGGAAGAAGTGGGAGTTAACAAGAAAGGGGGTCTGGACCCTTCTCTGGCTCTGGGCCTGCTACTCCCTGGGAGTCAGAGCAGGAACTGGCCCCAGAGAATCCACTGCACGGTCATTTCTGGCTGATCAAGTCCTGCTCGGCCTCAGGAAACATAGACACAGGACATCTTGAGGGCTCCTTAGGGGACATCAACAGAAAGCCGTCTCCTCACCACGAGGTGGCCACTACCCAGAGAGACTGGCACTGCAGAGGCAGAAACCCCCTGGCCTATAGCTCTGTGTCAGTCACTGGGTGGAAGGAACATCTTATGTGGTCCTGCCTAGGGGCTCCTGCAGCCGGTCACAGGGAGGCCCCTGCAGGACTGCATGGTCAGACCTGGTACTCGGTTCAGACCATGCTGCCCAGTCCACCCGCAGCCCCACGTTCCTGGCCCCAGTGAGGCCGCTGCCCTCCTGTTATCAACCAGGCCTGCTTTTCTCCCCGCAGCAGCAGCAGCAGCAGCAGCAGCAGCAGCAGCAGCGGGAAGCCGGAGCCAGCACTCATGCGGCATCCTCCCAGGCCTTGTCCTCAGCCCTGCCAGGGACAGAAAAGCCTGAAAACCTCCAGAGTCAATACAGCTCCCTGACACCTGCAGGGCCACCGCTGTCCCATCATGAGCTGTTTCTGTTTGGCTCCAGGTGCAATGGCCCAGCATCCAGAACCAGGCCTGCCCGAAGGCCATGAAGACGGTCGGTCCACCTTGCTGTGGGCAGAGGAGGTGTGAACACAGGGCAAATGCCAGACACAGGCGCAAGTGCACACACCGCCTTGGGGCCAGGCGTCACTGTCGTCCCCTGTCCCCGTCCCTGTCTGTCCACGGCACATGCCGCCCCTCTGCCCCAGCAGCCCAGCGCACAGTGAAGGCATCAGAGGGGGAATCATATCTGCACCTGGCCAGATAGCCCAAGACGACATGGTGGGGGGTGAGGGCAGGGGTCAGCCGACAGCTGGCCTTTGCTGCAGAGCCTGCCCCACGAGAGGATGCTACTAAAGGCACATCACTCTAGGACAGCGGTTGTCAACTGGGGAGTGATTTTGCCCCCCAGGGGACATTTGGCACTGTCTGGAGACAATCTGGGCTGTCACAAAGTGACAATTGGGAGGAAAGTGTGCTATTGGCATCTAGTGGGTGGAGGCCAGAGATGCTGTGGGCATCTGACCACATACAGCACCCCCACCCCCCGCCACAGAGAATTATTGGGCCCCAAATGCCAACAGTGCCAGGAAAAAAGAGATCTTCCCCAGGGGAAGCCCACACTAACTGAGCACATACTACGTCCCTCGTACTTCTGCTCAGTTTCATAAGAATTCTCCCAATCGCTTGGCATTATGGTGCCTCGGACATTTGTCATTAAAGCAGAAGAGGATGAAGTGGGGTGCAGGTGTCCCCTCACCCCAGATTCTCAACCGATCTCTTCCTTGCTTGTAGCTGGCACACTTCATTTATGTGATTTCCTACCAAGAGCCCTGCTGGGAACACGTAAGGGTTGGCAGCCCCATTCTTCAGACAAACTGTAGAGGCCAGTCAGCCTGCCCAAGGCTGCATGGCCAGTGAGTGGACCCGGGGGTTCAAGCTAGGTCTGTTGGGGTTCCAGATCCCAGCTTCCTCCATCACGACTTTTGCTTCCCTCTCCTCTCACCCAGCTGCCCCTCCGGCTCCTTCTAGATCCCCTGGAACACAGCAGACTACAAAGCCACCTTCGCTCCCCTGCTCCCTCCTGACTACGTCACACTTCCCAAACTGCCTGGCCCGTCCTAATTAGAAAGTCATTTTATCACTTCATCAAACTGGGATCCCTTTGGGGATAGATCCACATCAGGCTCTGAGCTGCAGAACGAACCCCTTGGCCTACGTTACCACCGCTGACCCAGATCTTACCCTCACGGCAGCACCGACCAGGAGAACTTTCTGCGGCGATGGACACGTTCTAAATGTGCACTGTCCCGCACGGGAGCCGCTAGTCATACGTGGCTACTGGGCACTCGAAATGGGCCCAGCGAGCCGGAGAGGCTGAATTTTAAATTTTATTTAATAATCATTAAATTTAACTTTTAAAAAAGCACATGTGGCTGCTGTGCTCCACGATCTCACCGCTGCCTCTGCTTTCTCCCCAAGCCTTCTGATCCGGCCCCTGGGACCACCCCTCAGAGGTCACACGGTGATTGGGGTGGGTTCCAGCCTCTGCCAAGCTCGCTCTCTCTCTCTCTCTCTCTCTCTCTCTCACACACACACACACACACACACACACAGGTTCACCTACCGCTCGCTGCTCAATCTCTCATTTAAACCTTGTCTCTCCCCAATGGGACATCCCAAGGCTGCAGCGGTGGCTCTTTGTGGCCACCCGCCCCAGCAAGGTGGTTCACGGCCGGGTACTGTTGGGTGCCCAGTGTTGGGTACTGAGCGGCACCACCCTCGCTTTGGCAGGGTCCACTTCTGTGGCTACATGCCTGGCCCTGATGAAATCTTCTAGGGGGCTGTCTTCCCACCCCCATAGGACATACTGCCAGACTCGGAGGGTCACTGAGCCACAGCAGGGGCACCTGCTGCCTCCTCCAGGGAGCCTGTCCTGATTGCGCCCTGCTGAGTTAGCCCTGGGCTGCTGGCACTCAGCCCTCAGAATCACAGGTAACTGTATCTGTGGCTCCTCCATACCCCCTGTGAGCTCTCCCATAGAAGGTGCTGCACGGGGATCACTGCCGCAACCCTGGAACCCAGCGTGTGGGCCAACAGAGCCTGGGAGTGGGGGTGGGGAGGTGGACGGTAAGGAGATGGGGGTGGGGGCGGCTGAGGCCACACGCTGCCAAGGTACCCCTCTCCCTGCAGAGCCCAGCTGGGCGCCGCCCCCTCTGCCAGCATCCTCCCCAATTTTCCTGTCGAACTTGACAATCGCTGACAAGAGAGCTGCCGTTTCATCCTCCCCAGCAGCGCCCCGGGGATGCTGCGGGGACCGGGCACCCCCGGCTGTCCAGGGTTCCCACTTCCCCGGGCTCTAAACCAAGCACGCCCAAGGGGGCGCCTCCCCCACCCCGGCTCTTCCTGATCCACTGCCGGTCGCCTGGGGACTAACGAACGGGAAAGCAGGCTCAGGGAGGCAGACAGGCTGTCCCGGGAGACAGAGGCGACAGAGACGGAAGCCGGGGCAGCTCCGAAGGGAGACGAGGGGGACCGAGAGGGCCAGCTGAGCCCAGCTGCTAGCAGCCTCGACACAAGTGTGCCAACTTCCCAGGGGACGGCGAGCCGCCCTCGCCCCTAACCCAGCCCTGGTGGAGATGGGCGGGGTGGGGGGCTGCCCATCCATCACCTCCCCAGGGAGCCCTCAGCGCCAGCGCATCATCCGCTGAAAATTAGGCTGTAGAAATAACTTTTTTTTTTCCCTCTCTTTGGATTTTCCTAGCAAGGGGCAGGCCCCTAACTCACCCCAGGCAGCTCATGGTGGCCTCTTTCGGTGGCCTTCTGTGCTCCGCTGCAGAGCCGAGACGCTGCGCCCGGGCTTGGTGGGGGGGGGGGGGGGGTGGCCAGCCCTGTCCCTGACATTGGCCAGGCCCAGAGGGAGGGGCAGGCTGTGGGGTGAATGGCAGCAAGGGGAGGGGGCGGGCTGAGCCCAGGAAGGGGGAGGGGGGAGCCATCGCAGGCCCTGGAGGCAGGGTGAGGAGAGAAAGACCCCGCGGGATCCCGGCAGGGAAGGCATCAGGCATCACTCGGAGGGGGCCTGATCAAAGCTGTGCTGTGCAGGGCTGTGATGCCCTGGTGGGAAAGGGGGTGGGTGTGGGGGGCTCAGAAGACTCAGGGGCCACGCCAGGTGTAAACCCACCAGGAATTTTTTTTCCTAAAGGATAAACTGACAGGGTCCAAAGCTGAGCATAACACAAAGTGCACAGCTGATGGGTTCATGGTCCTGTGACAACACTCATTTGCTGTGTGACTTTTGGGCCAGCCTCTTAACCTCTCTGAGCCTCAGTCTGACTCTGAGAAATGGGCATAATAATAGTGCTGGGGTGATTCAGCCAGAGAGTGTTTCTCTAGGGCCCTGGTGAGGTCCCTGGCGCACAGCTGGCATCATCAGAGGGCACAGAGCACACACTGTTTGTAGCACGGGGCGTCCTTCCTGCAGGAGATGGGTCCTCTCTGCAGCCTGTCCCAGCCCAGCATCCAGCAGCCATCCCGACTCGTACACAGTGATGCCCTGGCACCCAGCAGAGCCAACAGCCGCCCTTCCCAGGGTCGGCCTTCAGGCCACAGGCCCACCCTGCGAGTGGGTCAGCGTTGGGGTTCGGTTCCGTGGCAGGACGCACAGCATAGCGCCTGGGGCAGTGGCAGAACAGCGGACATCTCTAAGCAAGACACACTCTGCCTGCCCAGTCCTCCCCCAACGAAGGTACCTGAGGTTGTCCATGAGTGGTGCACGGGCCTCTCTGGGCAGCACCAGGGTGAGCGCCCACACCAGGTCATCAACTCGCTGCTGTGCCGCAAACTGCTTCAGGGCAGCGAACACCCGTTCCTTGGCGGTTGGCTGGTCCCCCAGGATCTCATCCACCTGCAAGGAAGGGTCTGGTGAACGACCACAGGGACGCAGAACAGAATACCGCTCGCCTCCGGCGCCTCCCTCAATTTCCCTCCGCAAGACAGTTGGAGCACTGCCTGAGCTCCGTCGTGAGCTCTTTACCCAAGTCACGTCATTTCCAGCCTCACGGCAGCCATACAAGGTGGCAGGGCTGATATCCTCATTGACATCTAAGCAAACGGAAGCTGGTAGAGGTGGGGTTGATTTGCCCAAGGCCACGGGGTCAGGGCTGGAACCCAGAGACCGCCCTTCCGCTGAGTATTGTAAGGATCAAAGGAATCGATACAAGAGCTTTAAAATGTGCCAGGCACTCAATAATTGCTAGTTACTATTATTATAACACTATAGTCCCTGCCACCACACGGTTCGCTGAGAGATCCCACAGGGAACATTCTGGCACCACAAAAAAGCCCCGGGGTGTGTGCCTAGCCCTGAATTTGGACTCCTCCAGTGCTCTCTCTGGACTTCTGTTTTCTTCTGCTTTGTGTCCAAACCAGCTGGTACCAGTCAAGGTACATCTACTCAGAGGAGTCCATGCAGCCGTTGGAAAGGGGCACCATGTTTCTGGAGGGAAGCTTGGTAAGTGTGTTCAGAGCCTAAAAATGCACCAGGACTTTACCCAGTGATCTAGAAACGTATCCTAGATCTGTCCTGAAAGACAAGACCATGCACAAAGATTTATGAGTGAAGAGGTTCACTCTGCATTGTTCATGGAGACATTGGAAGCAATACAGAAATCCTGATAATACTGGATAAATAACTGTAGCACATCCATTTGGTGGGGGGGGGGGTAGTTGTAGTCCTGGCTGTTCGGCCAAGAAAGGGGGAAACCCCAAACCACGTGGGAGGCAAGACTCTGGCAGTTATGGGGCAGCCAAGGGTAGCTTTGGGCAGTTGGAGGCTCTTGTCCAGGGTTTTGCCTCTTGAAAAGATGATGCAGAGACAGGGGGACAGCAAAGCTTGCTCAGGGTGGTGACAAAGCCCCGCAGCGCACCCTGAGTGGACTTGTCCTAGCTGGGTGGTTTAGGACAGCTGGACCTCAGGTTGCCGGTCCTGTCCCGCTTCTAAGGCTGGATCTCCAGGGCCGACTCTGTGAACCGTTCCTCCCCCCGATCCGTTTCTCCTGCCCAAGTTAGCACAGTCAACTTCTGTTGTTGGAGAGCCAAGTTCACCTGATACCCTGTGGTACTGGACATCGTTGGTTCTGGGGGCGAGCATCTCTGAAATCAGGATGTATCTCATGGCTAATTGCTGTTCCTGCGCATGTATATGGATGTGGTCATAGATGTTCACCGCGTTGCTTGAACTGACTTACGTGCATCGCGGGTACTAACTATGTTCCAAATGAGTCTAGAAATTCTCCTTCGATGACTACTAAACTAAATGATGAGTAAGTAATAAGGAAATATGGGTCATGGGTTAACTGGCACAGGTTTTTCTCTGTTGATGGTCAATAAAACGGGCATCTTGCATTTGATGTAAGGTGGGACTATTTGGTCAGAAAAAATGGTGCTGAAGATCTTTATTTAAAACCATGAAATGGAGGGGCGCCTGGGGGACTCAGTCAGTTGAGCGTCCGACTTCGGCTCAGGTCATGATCTCACAGCTTGTGAGTTCGAGCCCCGTGTCAGGCTCTGTGCTGACAGCTTAGGGACTGAAGCCTACTTCAGATTCTGTGTCTCCCTCTCTCTCTGCCCCTAACCCACTCTCATTCTGTCTCTGTCTCTCTCAAAAGTAAATAAACATTAAAAAAAAAAAACCATGAAATGGAGAGTGATGGCTAAGTCTGTGGAGGTTCTTTTGGTGGGGTAACTAGAGTGTCCTAAAATTGATCGTGGTGGTGCCTGGGTGGCTTAGTCGGTTAAGCATCCAACTTCGGCTCGGGTCATGATCTCACGGTTCCTGGGTTCGAGCCCTGTGCTGATAGCTGGAAGCCTGGAGCCTGTTTTGGATTCTGTGTCTCCCTCTCTCTCTGCCCCTCCCCTGCTTACATTTTGTCTCTCTCTCTCTCCAAACTAAACAAACATAAACAAATAAAATTGATCCTGGTGATGGTTGCATAAATCTGTGACTGTATCCAAAACCACTGAATTGTACACTTTAAATGAGTAGATTGTATGACATGTGGATATAGCTCAATGAAGCTGTTATAAAATATAACAGGAAAATGTGATAAACAGGCAAGTGAAAAAAACAGGTTACAAATGGGATATGCAGTGTTACATTTTTATACATATACAATTACGCATATACCTATGAATTGGAAATAGGCACTAAGTTTTAGAGTGATCTGGATTTTTTAAATAAGTCAGTGGTTTCCATTTTCTCTACAGTTTATATGGTTTATACAGTCAGGAAAAAGAGTGCATGTTATCATTTCTCCCTTTATTTTTTACTGTAGTAAAAATGCACGTAACATACAATTTACCATTGTGACCATTTTAATGTGTACGATTCAGTGGCATTAAGTACATTCACAACATGGTTTAAGCATCACCACCATCCAGTTCCAGAACATTTTCATATCCCCCCAAATGGAAACTCTATGCCCACGAAGTACTCACTCCCTCGGCCGCTTTCCCCCAGCCAGGTGGCAGCCACTAATCTGTTTTCTGTGTCCACGGATTTGTTTACACTGGATACTTCTTGTGAATGGAATCACAAGAGTGAGGTGGCTTTTTTTTTTTTTAATTTTTAAAAATGTTTATTTGTTCTTGAG